TGGAGCCTACTGTCCCTACACATAACCCCATGAGTTGGCCTGGCATCCCAGTCACCCTGCCCTCCACAACCTCCAAACCCCACTTACACTGGTCCTCACCACCACCCTTCAAGGTGGCCAGAGCAGAGGTAATGACCCCAGGGCACAGAGGGAAAAGCCAAGGCCCATTCAGGTCAAAGTCATCTGCCCCAGGTTGAATGGGCAGTACCTGGCAGAGCCCAGAGAACCCTAGGTTTGGAAACCCCTGTTCCAGGGCTCTTTCGATAGCAGCAAAAGGGTGCCATTCCTGAAAGACCAACAGTGCAGACAAAGCCAAGAGGTATCACAAAGGCAGGGTCCGATTCTACTTAAGCATGTGATGATTTATTCAACAACCATCCATCCATTCACTCATTAGACAGACATTCATGGAGCCCTGCTTGCTCCAAGGGGGGTGTGGGAGTCAGAACAGGAGTGAGTGGCACCTCTGGTGACAGCCACACCCCAACAATGAGCGCAGGAAGCACAGAGCCTGGATCTTAGCATGTGAGGACTGTGCAGGGGTGGTGGGGGCTGGTTTGAGCTTTAAATCCCTCTCAAGTCACCGAACCTTCCAAGCCACTGAAACTCAGAAGCCACGCCTGTGTGCTGTGGGTGCTCCAAGGATATTTATTGTTGAAGAAGCCAGGAAAGTCCCACTGAAGGCCGGAAATTCAGCCAGACAATGGGAAGAAGGAAAAGCAAGAGAGGTCTCAGCTTCTGAGAACATATCACCCCTCTCCCCCACACAAACACTCCTGGTTAGCAGTTGTTCACCAACCCACTAGCTCTATTTTGGGTGGTGTGAGAGAGCCTTGAGAAGAAACCCTTTCCTTCTGCCACACTTTATGTGGCAGCTCACAGCTTCTCTAATTGCAGGGCCTGGGCAATTAACTACTGGAATAAAGTCTCGAAGGAATGGCTTGGGCCAAGCCAAGGTCTTGGAGAGACTGAGACACCCGAACTGAATTAGAGCCAGAGCTGTCTCACTCGTTATTTTTCTTAAGAAACCACCTTACTCCTGAGGACACCGGGCTGGGTCTCCTTGAGCCTCTTGACAACTGCATGAGCCCTGTGTGGTGCATACAGCAGGGACCGGCAGCCTCCTGGCCCACCCTTCCCTTTTCTGCCACAACTCATGCCCCTTAAGTCATGGTTGTCACTGTGGAGGGAGGAGAACATAGGCTCAGGAGGTAGGGGACAGACCTCGGTTTCCTCCTCAGCAAAAGGGGCTAATAAAACCTACTCTCATCTCCTCTGAGGACCAGAGGAGTTCTTAGAAAACTCAGAAATTCGGGGCCTCCCCCGTGGCGCAGCGGTTGAGCGCTGGGTTGCGAAACTGCCCACACCCTCTGCAGCTCCTCTAGAACCCCTGGCCATTGGGCGAGGGTCCCACATGGCGCGCAGACCTCTCCTGCCACCCGCTGCTCCCCTCAGCAGTGGACTTGTCAGTCTGCCTGCTCTGCTCCCCACTCTGGTTCTGGTGAATTCTCTCACCCTCCCGTGCTTCTGATTGTACCCAGTGCTTGCATAAATAAATAAATAAATCTTTAAAAAAAAAAGAAAAGAAAACTCAGAAACTCAAAGCTAGAGCATAACAGTCTTCAAATGCATCTCAATTTGAGACCAAAGGACATTTTACTTCTCTCTGTGTGGCTATTTTCACCTGGACTTTTCTTTCCAACTCTCTCTGGAGGAATAGAGGGGAGAAACATTAGACTGTTTTAAATACAGAACACTAAGAATGTCACCAGCCGGTGCTAAGGAAAAGTGTCCCTGGCGTTAATGGTTCTAGGGGGGCTTCCTCCAGGAGCCCTGACCTTGGTTTGTATCACAAATATTTTCCATTTCCAAGCTCAGCAGGAAACATTAATTCAACAGATGGAGTCACCACTGACGGATGGTGGCTTCTTGGCCTCACCTCAGCCAGACCTAGCCAGTTTGCCTGGATTCCAGCCCCATGCAGATGCGGTTTGTATGGCAGTTTTTTAAGTAGCCCGAGCATTCTGGCCCCTCACACACATGAGGGAAGCAGGCCCACATGCTAGAGAGTAGAGGAGGCAGGGCTGCCTGAGAGAGGCCTGTGCAGAGAGGGCTGAGACTATTAGACCAGGGAAAAGGGAGGAGGGGACCAGCTCTGGTCTTACCTCCAGCAGGTCACAAAACTTCATTGAACCTCAGCTGCTTCCTCAGTAAAAAGGGTCTAAGAAAACCCACCCTCATCTCCTCAGCTGTCAGCAACTATGTGGGGCCCTGGACAACGCACTCTCCCATTCATCTGTAACTGGAAAGTCAGATGCTCTCTGAAGTCCTTTTACACTAAAATCTGAGGGTCCAAGGTGGGTGTTTTGAAGGTACAGGAACATCTCAGGGCACTCTGGCCCACAGTGATCCTCGGAGTTCTCACACAGGTTGACCATTCACTTCGCGCCACCAAGCCGTGTGCTGCCCCATCCCCTACCCTTCCCAAGCACAGCCCTGCCAGGAAGCAGCTCTGGCCCAGCCCTGGTGGGGGACACAGGTGGTCAGAGAGGATGAAGATGGCCCTGTCAAAACCCAGCTCCCTCTAACTCCCACATCCACATTCCTTCCGCCTGTCGGCCCAGAACAATCGAACCTGCTTTCTTCCATCCCCACAGGGACTGATGCTCGGGCCCCCATAAAGTCGACTCCAGTGCACACACACCCCCAAGCTGGCCAGGGCCCTGCAATGTGGCTGCAGCTGGGACAGCTTAGACTATCCCGACATCAGTCAGGACATCAGCTCTGGGCCTGGCCAGGCCCGGGCAAGTGCAGGCTGACCTTGGAGGAGGCACACTGCCTGGCTGCCAAAAGCTGCAAATCCCGAATCCACGTCCACAAGAATATAGAAACATAAATGTTTTCTAGGGCTGTCCTCAATTCTAGATAACCTCTATTCTACTTCTCTGGCACTAAAATATTCTCTTTTAAGTGAAATGCCAACCATGTTAGGTGGTAGATGAGTTGTCAATTTTTTTGTGTTTGTTTCTTTAAAATGGACACTATTTTCCTTTTATTAATTTGTTTACATTGTTGATTTTGTACAGTACTAGATCCCTTGTGCTCCTCCCACCTCTGTTTTGATCCCTTTTCCTCCCCCTCCCCTACTTTAAGCTTCATATCTATAGTTGCTTTCAGGTTTTGTCTTTTTTTTTTTTTTTTGACCCTTTGTTTGGTTCCCCTATATTTCTCCTATAAGTGATATCACCCAATATTTTCCTTTTTCCTTCTGACTTATTTCACTGAGCATAATTCCTTCCAGTACCATCCATGTTGCTGCAAGTGACATAAGTTTATCTTTTTTGATTGCAGAGTAGTTTTCCATTTTGTTTGCTTGTTTGTGTGTGTGTGTGCGTGTATCACATTTTCTTGATCCGATCAAGTTTTGGGGCATTTAAGTTGTTTCCATATCTGAGCTATTATACATAGTGCTGCAATAAACATAGGGGTGCACGTTTCCTTCTGAATTAATGTTTTTTGTGTCCTTTGGGTAGATTCCTAGGAATGGAAATGCTGGGTCATGTGGTAGATCCATAAAATGGACACTTTTAATAAAAAGTTACACATTGGCAACCCAACATAGGTCCTTCCCATTTTTTTAAACAGTTCTGAGAATTTTATGTGATTGGGATATTTATAGTTCCTCTTAGTTTTTTCTTTGTTCTATGATACATTGAAAGTAGCCTCCAATTAGATGATCTCTAAAATTTGCAGCTTTGTAAGAAGATACAAGAGTCTCCCCATCCCCCAACACACCACACACACACACACACACACATCACACATAAACACATCAAGGAAAACCATGACTGTATACAAGTGAGGATGAGCACCCTCACGAGAAACCAAATTGGCCAGCACCTTGACCTTGGACTTTCCAGGAAGAATGGTGAGAAAATTAAAATTCTGTTGCTTCAGCCACACCATCTGTGGTGTTTTAACAACACAGCCCCAAGCTGACTAATACAGCTGTGATACCCTGTCCCTCAATAGGCTTCCGTCTCTCCACCTGTAAAAGTGAGCAAGTAACATTCTATTTCGGCATTACCCTAGTGCCAAGTCAAACAACGATATCATAAGAACAACAGCTCATAAAACTATATACTATAAAACTACAAATCAATAGCTCTTAGGAATCTGATATAAAAATCCTCAACAAACCAAATGTAGTAATATATAAAGATGACATACTGTGTGGCCAAGAACAACTTATCCCAGGAACACAAAATTGGTTTAACATCCAAAAATCAATTAACATAATACTCTATGCCAGTAGAATAAAAGGGAAAAGCCATATAATCATCTCAATGGACACAGAAAAATCATTTGACAGTATTCAACATCTTTTCATGAACAAAAATTCAATAAACTAGGAATGAAAGGGAACGTCCTCAACTTGACAAATAGAATGAAACAGTCACACTTAATGGTAACAGACAGAAAGCTTTCCCCCAAAGTCAAGAGCAAGACAAAGATGTCTGCTCCAGCTACTTTTATTCAACAGGATGATCTTGCCAGGGCAACTAGACAAGAAATTTAAATAAAAGGTATCCAGATTGAAAAGGAAGAGGTAAAACTCTCTTTTTGCAGATAATTTGAACTTATACGTAGAAAATTCTAAGGATTTCACTTAAAAATATGTTAGAAATAATAAGTAGGTTTAGCAATGGTAAAAATAGAAGATCAATGTAAAAACATCAATGTATTGATAGAAGGTCAATTGGATTTCCCTATAGCAGCAATGAACAAACTAAAAAAAGGTAATTAAGAAATCAACTCCACTTACAGTAGCATAAAAATCATAAAATACTTGGGAATTGATATAATAAAAGAAGTGCAGAACTTACACTATGGAAACTACAAAACACCAAGTAAAAATCTAAAGAAAACCTAATGAGTGCCTGGAAGGAAGCGAGGCGCTAGCAGGTCTGGAAGCAGGGGTATCTGGAAAGGGGGCGCTGACAGAACGCACCCAGTGTGAGGTGGAGAGCCTCTGGTGTTTTGAAGCCTGGGTAGCAATCCTTTTCAACTCCTTGGGCTCCAGCTGCACAGATTACCCACAGCTTCAGTTTTCTGCTCTCTCCAAGCTCTAGAACAACAGACGCGCCAGTTTTTAGATCATGCCGCCCCCTGGTGGCACTGTACGAGACCACTGGGCAAAGGACCCAAATGTAACTCATCCTGGGGGAGAAAATTCCCCTTCCAAATGGCCTCTGACCTGATCCCAGATACCCTGCCCCCAGCCAAATACCAACCTTTGCTCCAGTCAAGGTCTGATCCACGACCTTGAGCAAAGACTGGCCTAGACCAGTGACTTCATCAACTTGTGCCTGGCCGCAGGAGGACCATGGGCTGGTTTGCGGCAGGCCCTCCATGGCAGAACTTGTCATGGGAATTGCTGGCCAGCATCAGAGAACACAAGGTCAGCAGCACCCACGGAAGTGTTCACTCACTTTGGGGTGTTTGCACACAGCTGCTCCCTCCCACTCCGACACCCTCCTCTGCCCTAGCAGCCAGCCAAAATTCACCAGACCAGAGAAGACAAGAATTAGGCAAGTCAGTGGCTCCATACTGAGCCCACAAGTCCAGTGACTAGAATGGCTGGCGTGGGGAGCATGTGACAGAATACTGGGGCCATGACTGGCAGGAGGGCATATTTTTCTACATAGCCTGAAAATCAGATTTTTATATGAAATCTAGACACTTAGGGGAATCTTCCGATATTTATGATTTAACGAGCTATTCAAAAGCAATTTTTAACCAAGCAGAACCTCGGGCAGGGCGGATGTGCACAGGTCCTAAGCTTACAGTACCCTAGCATCACTGGTTAAACACTAAATGCTTCCCTGTGCTCATTAAAGAGGCCCAGTCCAGGATCCTGTTGGACTGAGGGACCCACCCACCAACCTGATTCCAAACCAGGTGTCCCAGAGCCTCCCTGGACCCAGAAACTAGAGGGTTCACGCCTACCCCCACAGGGTTCCAGGACAGGGTGTTCATTCAGACTGGTCACAGGGCCCCAGAGCAGCAGCTGCTGTTAAATGCTTCAAAACCACCCCTGCACACAGCTCACCAAGCACTGCAGAACCAAGCAGGGGTGAGGCGGGGCCGGATGCTCTTCCCTTCCAGGGAACAGCCCCACTTCCAGAAGTGGAGAAGTGACTGAGAGCTCATTTCATCCCTTGGGCCCCCCCTTTACCTCACCCCCTTATCAGCAGCAGCCTGGGCTCTCATGGGGCAGGCTCACCTGGCGGTAGGTGCAGATGATGATTTCCCGAAGGTGGTTGTGCATGGGCGTCATGTTATCACTGACGGTGTCCAGTGCCGCATCCACCACTTTCTTCACAGGTGCCCGTCGGGCAACAGCTGCATCATCTTCATCACCACCTGGGCCAGAGGAGGAGGAGGTGAGCAGAGAGAAAACTGAGGCAGGCAGGAGGGAATCTGGTCCCCGCAAAGGCTCACCCTACACTAACAGCCACACAGGTCATTCTGGGTACCTTCCTCGCTCCACTACCAGTGACCCCAAAGGTCTACCAGTGAGGATTGGGCTGCTCCTGCTCATCCTATAGCCCACTCCTCATGCAGGGATCAGTCACTCCTCTCCAATCCCCCCTCCTCACATCCGGCCTCCCAGAGTAAGTCTTATCATGACCTCAAGGTCGAGGTCATGGCCTCAAGGTCGAGGTTACACATAGTATGGCCCTCCAGAGTTCTCACAGTCCCGGTACCCACCCACCTTAGCACCACCTTCTAATGTTCTGCCAGTCAAAACCTTAACACAACTCCTGCCCTTTCCAGATTGCACACTTGTTCCCCTCTACACATTCCCCCTCCTCATCCACACTCAAATGTTACCACCTCCATGAAGCCCTCCTGGCTCCCCAGTATCAGCCTCCGCTCTCAGAACTGATGTCAATTTCACCCTCTTCACACTCTATGAAGTAAATCCCTATTGAACTGTGGGTTCAAAAAGCCTGAAATAACTGCAAAGGAAGCTATTCCAGACATGAGAATTTCTTGGGCTGGGTGCAGATGGTACAAGGGTGTCGCCAAACACCATAATGTTACTTTGGAACATAGTCTCTGAGGTCCATTACCTGCCTTCTACCCCAGCCCATGACCTCTGATGTGGCTCCACGAGGATGAGCTTGGCTCCCTATGCCTCAGTTTCCTCATCTGTCAAGTGGGAATAGTAAAGGCACCTAGCTCTCCAGAGCTGTGAAGGATGAGCTCCTAGCATGGGGCCAGATATACGTAGAGAGAGTTCTATCACATCTGAGGACTGCCATAAAGACTAACAATTCAACTTGCATATAAACCCTCATGCTTGTAATCAAATGATTTTCAACAAGGATGCCAAGACCATTCAATGAGAAAGGGACAGTCTTTTCAACAAATGGTGCTGGGAAAGTGATACCCTCATGCAAAAGAATAAATTTACACATATCCAAATATTAACATGATATCTAAATATTAGCAGCAAATATTAAACTAGAATGGATTAAATGAGCAAAACGGAACAGCTAAAACCATAAATCTCTGAAAAGAAAATGTATTAGGATGACACTGCATTTGCCTATGAGTTCGTGAATATGACACCAAAAAAGCACAGGAAATAAAGAAACAGACAAATTGAATTTCATCAAAATTGAAAACTTAAAAAAAAAACAAAGGAACTGACAAAATGAAATCAAAACAAACCTTAGAAATATGACTGCAGGGGGCCTCCCCAGTGGCTCAGCGGTTGAGCGCTGGGTTGCGAAGCTGCCCGCGGCCTCTGCGGCGCCGGTTCGATTCCCGGCTGCTCCCCGGCCACCAGAGGAGGGTCCCACATGGCGTGCAGACCTCTCCTGCCGCCCGCTGCTCCCCTCAGCAGTGTACTTCGGTCCTTCTGCCTGCTCTGCTCCCCGCTCTGGCTCTGGTGAATTCTCTCACCTTCCCGCGCTTCTGACTGTACCCAGTGCTTGCATAAATAAATAAATAAACAAATAAATAAAAAAAAAAAAAAAAGAAATATGACTGCAGAATTGAGGATGTTTAGGCAGGGAAAGAGGATGCAGCAGGACAAGGGTGAAGGGCTCTGTGGCCGAGGGTAAAAGAATGTGGATTCTTGACTGGGGTGGTAAGTAAAATACATCTAGAAGGTGTGAAATTATTGCATACAGTGTCATAAATCAATGTCACCTCAATAAAAGATATACAATTGTAAAAACATTTTAACCTTCTGCATGAAAGGACACTATTGACAGAGTGAAAAGACAACCCATAGAATGGGAAAAAATATTTGCAAATCACATTATCTAATAAGACATCTATATCCAGAATGTAAAATGAATTCCTATAAGTCAACAACAACAAAAATAAGTCCAAACCAAAAATGGGTAAAGGACTTGAACAGGCATGTCTCCAAGAAGATAAACAGTGGCCAATAAGACACTCAGCATCACCAGTCGTTAGGGAAATGCACATCCAACCCACAATGCGGCACCACTCACACCCACCAGGATGACCACCAGCACAAAAACACAAAACAAGTGTCAGCAAGGAGGGGAAGATACTGGAACAATGAAAAATGGTGCCGCTGCCTTGGAAAAACAGTATGGCCACATCTCAAAAATTAAACAGGATTAACAGTTGATCCTGCAATTCCATTTCTGGAATTAAAAGTAAAAACTCAAGCAGATATCTGCACTCTCGAGTTCACAGCAGCGTTATTCACAACTGCCAAGAGGGGAAGACAGCCCAAGGGTCCATCAATGGTGACTGGATATCCAAAATGGGGTTTATGCACAGAATGGAATATTATTCAGTCTTACAAAAGGAAATGCCAACACATGCTACAGCATGGACGAAGCCTGAGTCGTAGAAGGACAAGCCAGTCATGGAAGGACAAATACAGTGTGATTCCACTTATATGAGGTATCCAGAGATGCCAAGTCCACAGAACTGAAAGTAGGAAGGCAGTTACCAGGGCCAGGGAGGAGGGAAGTTAGTGTTCAACAGTCCAGTCATTTGGGGAGGATGGAGAAAGTTCTGGAGAAGGATGGTGGTGATGGCTGCACAACTAAGCGAATGTACTTAGTGCCACAGAACTGCACACTCGAAAATGTTAAAAATGGAAAATTTTGTACTAAACATTTTACCACAATAATAACAGAAAATAATCAGTGAATCACCCAGGACAATAAGAGAAAAGAGGCCAGGGCAAGGGAATGGCATACGCAAAGGCTCAGCGGCTGAAAGAGCTTGGGGAACTCGAGGAACTACACAAAGGGCGGGGTAGCAGGGAGGGCAGGTGATGGGTGCATGGCTGGCTGGGTAGACAGGTGCCAAGCACCATGCCAACAACCAGCAGCTACACGCCCAGCTCTGAGCTCTATATTTCCCACCTGTGAGATGGGGACATTGCCACCTACTCTCTGGGGAGATGACATGTGATTGGTGCACATGAAGCAGTCATGACTAAATCGGAAATGTCCATCCAGCACCATGAGCTGAAATGGAACGGAGGCATGGGGGCAGAAGCCTGCACCATGACCAGCTGGATCCCAGGCTTCTTGGAGGCCACTGGGTTATGGCCAACATAACCCAGAGCAGAGGGTGGCCTCCCACCAGCCACACAGCAGCCCAGCAGCAAGACCCGTGAGGTGGGGGTCCAGCCCCATCTCCAGTGGCTATTTGCCATGGCCCCAGAGCTAAGCCACCCCACACCTTGGCTTGCTCTTGCGTGAAACAGGAATAGGGAAGCACTGGGATGACGAGGTAGACAGCACTGGGGACAGCTTGGAAGATTCCCCAGACCTGACAGCAAGATTCACCCTCTCCCCTCCCGCCGGCATCTGTTGGGGCCCCATAGGGAGTGCTCACCTCAAATTCGTCTTTGGTTTTACTTGGCATCAGGCACGCTCACCAGCTCCTCCTCGCCGACCTCGGGGAAACCCTAAGGAGGACAGCTGTTGGGGTGGGGAGCACTCCTCTCCTATGTCAGGAGCCCCATGACAATGGTCTGCCAGTCCCGGTTGCCCTACCCGGGATTGATGGCAGGGGGTTCCTGGACCACACCACGGACCACCTCTGCCCCCACACCTTCCCCATAGCCAGTGTTCCCAGGGACCAAGTGCCCAGGCTGTCCTCTCACGAGAGGTCACACATACTCAGATGTGTCAGAAGGTGAGCACAGCCGGAGGTGGTCTGGCCCTGGCCGCTGAGGCAGCTGAATACAAAGCCAGTGCCTGAGTCCTTGGCGAGGGCAGCCCTCAGGGCCACCAGCAGTCGGTCAAAATCCTGTGTGAGGAGATCAAGGTGAGGGTCGGCAGCCGTTCCTGCTGCACAGACCCCCAAGGTGGTCGCCCCTCCAAATGCAACCCCAGCAGCTGTCCTGGGAGCGCTCTCCCCGGGCCTGTCACTGCCAGGCTCACAACCTTGTACGCTCACACTCCACTCACTGAACACACGCAAGTCCCTGTGTGTGTGAATACAGCACCCCTGTGTACAGCTGTAACCCCACCCCAGAGACCAGGACTGGACATGTGAGCCAGCACACACACTGGGGGATCACGATGTCCACTGTCCACTGGATAAGACACCCTTCCATGTGCTGCACCCCCTAGGCTGCACATGGACCCCCTGGATCTGTGCCCACCTAGACGGGACCCAACCTAGGTCCCAGGCTGAGCACAGGTCCCAGCCTCAGCCCATCGCAGCAGAGCACGGCCACCAGGGGGCAACCACGGGCAAGGAGACCCGCTGGCAAAGTGAGGCCAGAACTCAGGCCCCAGCCTCCACCTGACACATGGAGCCGTGACACAGGCCCTGTACATGCCGGGCACAGACACACAGGCCACCCAAACCACATGTATGACACAGGCACACACAGTATCCACAACCTAAAGACACACAAACGACGCAGACGCCCATGAAGACAGGAACCTGCAGATACCACGAGGACACCCAACCCCCCTCAGGCACACACAGCATTCCACACACCCTCCTCCACAGAGCCCGGATGCACGCCACACCACACGACTCCCCAGAAGACACTCTCTCCACACGTGCTCTCCCCCAGTGAAGACAAAGTGTTCGTCACAGACTCCACAAAAAATACTCGCACCACACATACACACACTTCACAATGACATGACACCCGCTCCCAACACAATCCCCAGCAAAGATACACACACCATGAACACGATGGACGTGCTCGCCCGAGACACACCTACAACACATGACAAGCACCCAAACAAACACGCAAACAAGAAACTTGGACACAGTGTGAGTAAAGCACTTGGTCAAACTCGAAACCCCCAACCCCTCCTAGGAGCCCACTGTCCAGAGGGGGCGGAGCAGGGAAAGGCCTCCTTTCCCTCCCCAGAGGGACACCTTGGCATGGCCCCTCACCTCTTCACAGGGGGCACAGAAGTCTGGCAGTGGGATGCGGTGGTAGGTGAGACCAGGACAGGCCCCCAGGTGCTGGCTGAAGACCTCCTGCATAGTGAGGCACGTGTGGAACTTGTGGGTGCGGGGGCCCTCTGTGCCTGGGAGAGGCTTGCTCAGGTGGGTCTTCAGCTGGGTCTCCAGGTTCTAGAGGGGTTGGGACAGAGGACAGCGGCCACTGAGGCAGCCTGCAGGCCAGCTCTGAAAAACGGGAGCCTGCTCTGGTCAGGGCCAGTCCTGGCTTCTGGGAGCATCTCTTCCCCTTCCTGAGCCTGGGGGTCAGACCCAGACTTGGACCAGGGAGGTGGCCCGACGCACATCCTGAGTCAGCCACTCCCTGGCACAACTCCCATCAGGACTCGGCTTCTCCATCAGTACAGCAGGACCAGCAAACCTTCTGAAGATCCTCACAGGCCAGTGCCCCAGAAGGCTTCCAAGGAAGGGGTGTGCAGAAGGCAGAAGGGCTCACCTCCAGCTGGTCAGTGGTTACAGGGGGCCCAGGCTGCCACAGGCTGCGGGTGTGCCCATCACACTCCAGCACGGCCTCCTCCCTCAGGTTCACCCACACGATGTGCCGCAGCTTCCTCTTGGCGTCGGTCAGGTAGGCCAGGACACTCCCCAGGGCCTGGGGGGACAGGAATATGGTCAGTGAAAGGGCTCGACCCTCCTGCTCCTACCCCAGGCCTCTAGGATGGTTACCTTGGCACTGGGCTGGGCCATGCCATAGATGGGCATGCGGGGCTACGTCCATCTCTGTCAGAGTGCCTAGTGCGTCTGGGGATATGAGATCATCCACCTTCTGCGGGGAGAGCAGCAAGCCTGGGACCACAGCCCCTGACACGGGTCCAGAGCTGGTCCCAGAGGGGCAGGAAGGGGTGGGACCGGCTCCTTTTGCACACTAGGAGCTTTACCAGTGCCCAAGGAGAAGAGGGATGGCCCCCACCTCCAGAAGAGGAGGCTGAGGCTCAAAGACCAGCCCACACCCATTCCCATCCTCCCAGCCAGCCAGCCACACTCACCAGGGAGCCCTCGGCCATGAGGCCCCTGGGAGCCACTGGCCCCACGAGGTCAGCGTCACAGGCAGACGGTACAGCTCAGGGTGGGCACACAGCCAGAGGCTGAAACTGATGGCAAAAGCCAGCGGGTACTGCAGCCCAAGGCGGAAAAAGACAGGAGTTCAGGGTCACAGGGCCATCCCAAGCTCCCCCCACCGCAAGGTAGGGGAGGCCAAGAGACACCCATTAAGCCCAGAGCAGGAATGAGGGGGAGGGAAACTCGGAGCAGGACATCCAAAGCAAGAGCCAACCAGGACCTGATGCCCGGTGGGGTCAGAGAAGGGGCCCAGAGATGGGGC